ACAATTAGGAAAAAGAGGCCACAGTTTGCACCAGCTCACCAAAACTGGACAGTTGAAGACTGGAAAAATGTTGCCTGGTCTGAGGAGTCTCGATTTCATTTGAGACATTCAAATGGTGGAGTCAGAATTTGGCGTAAACAGAATGAAAACATGGATCCATCGTGCCTTTTTACCACTGTGCAGGCTGGTGGTGGTGGTGTCATGGTGTGGGGGACGTTTACTTGACACACTTTAGGCCCCTTAGTGCCAACTGGGCACCTGAGCATTGTTTCTGACCATGTCTATCCCTTCATGACCACCATGTACCCATCCTCTGATGGCTACTTCCAGCAGGATAATGCACCATGTCATGAAGCTCCAATCATTTCTAACTGGTTTCTTGAACATGACGATGAGTTCACTGTACTACAACGGCCTCCACAGTTACCAGATCTCAACCCGATAGAGCATCTTTGGGATGTGGTGGAACGGGAGCTTCGTGCCCTGGATGTGCGTCCCACACATCTCCCAACTGGAAGATGCTATCCTGTCAATATGGCCGACATTTCTAAAGAATGCTTTCAGCACCTTGTTGGATCAATGCCACGTAGAATTAAGGCAGTTCTGAAGGTGAAAGTGGGTCAAACACCGTATTAGTGTGGTGTTCCTAATAATCCTTTAGGTGAGTGTGTATTTATTCAAATAAAGGTCTTAAATAAAATACTTTATCTTCTTCTCTAAAGTTAATTACCGTAATTTCCAGACTATAGAGAGCACCTCAATATAAGCCCCACCGGGCTAAAAGCCGCTGATCTCTACTGAATTGAAAACGTAGTTTAACTGAACGTAACTGAACCGATCAATATGAAACAAAACAGAAAAGTTATCGATTAGTTTATTCATCTTCCTCTTGTGCACTGAAACCATTAAAGTCCTCTTCTTCAGTGTCGGAGTTGAACAGCCTCAGAAGAGCTTCATCACATATTTCTGTGGCGATGTCGGTGTCGCTGTCCGTGTTGCTGTCATCATCCCCGGGTAAAGATGGCTTGAATGAGTTCTTCCTGCTGCCGTCTCCAGCACCGAACCATGGATTCATTCATGCCAAGCTTACGTGCGGCAGCACTGTTTCCCTCCTTTACTGCCAGATCGATGGCCTTCAACTTAAATGCGGCATCATATGAACTCATACGTGTAGTTACCATGATGAGGGGGTATGGATTTGAAAAAGATTCTTCGTCGTGCCTGCTGCTTGAATGTGCTAAATTAAAATGAGCGCTTTCTTCGATTTCCACTTTTGACTTCCACCTGTTTCACTTCCTGCTAAAGCGCCCCCTGTTGGCAGGTGAAGGAAAACCTTCAGTAAAGCCACACCTCATTATAACCCACGTGGTTCAAAGCGTGGGGAAAAAAAGTAGCGGCTTGTAGTCCAGAAAATACGGTAAACTTTTTCTCCCGTCATCAGGTCACCCTAAAACTAGAGCTTTTATCACTCATGGAGGTGCAAACGGGGTTTATGAGACCATCTATCACGGCGTTCCCATGGTGGGAATTCCAGTTTTTGCTGACCAGCCAGACAACATGCTGCACATGAAAGCCAAAGGAGATGCAATTGTTGTGGAATTAAACTCACTGACATCTGAAGACCTCAGAGATGCGCCGTCATCGATGACACAACGTCAGATTTTTTAAATTCCTGCACCAAGTCTGTTTTAAAGATTTAAAAAAAAATTGTTTCGTTTTTGGTGATGAGTCAGCATTAACTTTATTACCAGAATAAATATTTCCCTTCAATTTCCTGTTTTCGTGGTAAATTTTTACTGTATGGCCCGAAAGAGTAACCTAGCTTAAATGTACAAAACTACAAATGTGCCTTTCATTATTCCCAGTTTGTGAGATAAAAGTTAATCTCTGACAATACATTATGAATAACTCTTTATGTTAACTTGTTTATCCACAGCTACAAAGAAAGTGCCATGAGACTGTCCAGAATCCACCACGACAGACCCATGAGTCCTCTGGACGAGGCGGTTTTCTGGATCGAGTTCACCATGAGGCACAAAGGAGCAAAGCACCTGAGGGTCCAGGCCCACGAGCTCACCTGGTAGCAGTATCACAGCCTGCATGTCCTGAGCTTCCTGCTCTCTGTGGTTCTGCTGCTCCTGTTCCTCCTCGACAAGACCTGCAGGTTCTGTTTCCGGAGGTGCTGCTGCAGAAGGAAGACCAAGAGGAAGGCTGAATAACAAACTCAGCTCAGGTTTATTCAAGTTAAATATTGAATAGAAAGGCTGATTTAATATAGATTTTAATCGGTCTTTTGACCACTGACCTCTTGTGTAAAAATAGGGAAGTAAGAAACTGTTTAAAAAAAGGCAAAAACAAAAGTGTTTTGATGTATTTTTTATCTTCTGTGTGATCAAATAGGGTTTTGGGTTTTTATTATTACAAAAAAGGAAAAGGAAAAACATCAGTGTCCAATGTTTTCACTTCTGAATAAATGGTTTGTACTTCACAATTTTTTGTTAAATTCTGACCATTTAGTTTTTGCTCAAGTTTGTGTAACTTCTGTCAAAATGTTTAGAAAAAATATCAAACAGCCGGGATTAAACCCGCAACCTTCTGATTACTGAACGACCCGCTCTCCCTCGGGAGCGACTGCTGTCCAAATGACTAGTTATAAATGACCTGCACTTGTGAAGGGTTTTCAGGTCGGTGTGTGGAGGGAATTTGGGGTCAAATGTCATGCTGCACCTGAGAAGTGATATTAGTGGATTTATTTATGGTTTTATTAGTAATGTTCATGACTGCGGCTACAGCAGGACAATGTTTCATTTAAATGTTGTTCGGAGGGACCGGCGTCGCCTGCGTATGGCAGACTCGCCTCTGTCAGGACGCCCCAGGGCAGCTGTGGCTACAGTGTAGCTCATCACCACCGGGGTTGTGAATGGGTGAATGTGTTGTAAAGCGCCTTGGGGGGTTCCAGGACTCTAGAAGGCGCTATACCAAATACAGACTATTTACCATAAATGAACAATAAAGTTTTATCTCAGCTTGTTGATTATTGTGTAACAGAGATCTCACAACCACAAATTACTGTTTCACCAAAATAAATACCAACAAATCTAATATTTTATTTTTATATTAAAAAAAAAAAAAGAAAACTGCAGAAAGTCCTAAAAAGAGAGTTAAAGTTAAACGTGACGTTTGGGAATCATTCCAGAATTCAAACAGTACAGAGTATGAAACACTGCTATCCAGAAATAAGCCTGAACAAGTACAACACATTTAGTTCTAGGTTTTATTTCCCATAAACCTGCAGGGATAGAAACACAAATAAGTGAAAGAAAATCAAAAGGATATGCACTCTGAGTTCAAACATTAATGTTTTGTACTTTAGTACTGAAACGAGTCAGAGTTCACAGTTAATAAGTATCCGTACGGCACATCCAGTATAAAGTTCACAGCTGGATTTCCCACAGACAGACAGACGTCCACCATGGAGCTGCGCGTGCGTCTCTGCCTGCATCCTGCTGCTACTTCCTGTAACATCTGGAGTAGATGGAGGGAAGATTTTGGTTTGGTACACCGAGGCCAGCCACTGGATTAACAGGAAGCTGCTGCTGGAGACGCTGGTGGACAGAGGACACCAGGTGACCGTCACATCCATGTTCATCAACAGCAGTGAACCCTCCCGCTTTAATTACCAGCCTTTTGATGTCTCCGTCTCTAAAGAAGATTTTGAGAATTTATTGGCTGAATTCATTCAATTCAACATGTATGACATGGACCACATGAACTACTTTCAGCTTTACATCAAATACATGGAATTGTTCAAGATCAACACTGAGATTTCCCTCCAGTTTTTGGACGGTGGTGAAATCAGAGCCCATCGTGAAGAAGCTGAGGAAGGGAAACTATGACGTTCTCCTGGCTGATCCCATCTATTCTGGAAGCAATTTAACTGCTGAGATCTTGGGCATCCCTCTAGTCTTTTCTTTGAGATTTTCGATAGCAAACAACTGGGAGAGACTGTGTGCTCAGCTACCTGCTCCACCTTCCTACGTTCCAGGTGCGGTCAGCAGACTGACAGACAAGATGAACTTCTCAGAGAGAACGTGGAACTTCCTCTTCTACGTCCTGCAGGACTTAGTTCTGGATCAGTGTGTGTGGAAGAAGGTGAGTATTGCTGACTAGAAAATTACGTAATGGATTTCATCCAGTCATCACGAACATGTTTGTTTTCTCAGGAACACCCACCAGTGCCTGTAAGATGGTGGGTAATGCTGACATCTGGTTGTTGAGAACCTGCTGGGATTTTGACTTTCCCCGTCCATTACTTCCCAACTTCAAATTTGTTGGAGGGATTCACTGCAAACCTGCTAAACCATTACCAAAGGTGCTCTTTCCATAACTGTACACCAAAAAAATCATAGTTAACCCTCTCAGGCTCAAAACAAGTTTTGATAAAAGGGCAAACAACTAAATCCTTCTTCTGAGTGTAAAAATGCTCATGAAATACGTACGTGGAGTATCCAGGTAGGTAGGTTTTAACGTTGCACATCAGCAACGCCTACTTCCAGAGGGTTAAATCCTAATGTAAAGAATAAGATCTGAAAAAAAAAAGATCTACAAAACAGACATCTTATTAGCTGTTTTATTATGGGATTAGATTTGTGCCAATAGGATCAAGAAAAACACTTTGGAGAGCAAACAAATTTTAAGACACTGAGAGAAAAAACCTTGGTTTCAAAAGAAAAACTTACGATCTGAATCAGATTCTTAAAATGATCAAGAAAATCACTGTGACGGTCAAACAAAAATTAAGAAATTGACAGAACAAAAATATTGACTAAAGTAAAAAAACATGTTTCAAAAGTAAAACTTACTATCTGAATAAACTTCTTAAAATGAGTAACAAAGTATGTTTCCTTTTTCTGTAATTGCCTCTATGTGTTTTTGTTATCAATTTCCTTAGTTTTGTTCTCTCTGCTCAGAGCTTTGCTCTCACTTCCAGATTTGCACTTACACTGTCTGGCTTTCTCCTGTGCAATCCCTGAGTTTTTGGTTGCAATTCTGACACAACCCTTTCGGGTGGGCGGGACTTCTGAGAAGTCCTCTCCCATAGGACAGTGGTTTCTCTTGAGTGATAGTTCAGTGACCTGGAAGTGATGTAGCCTCCAAGACATTTTTTTTCCCCCACCTGGTCAACACCATGAATTTTGAGCCCCAAACAGGTTATTTCTGCTGTCTGTGGTGTCTACTGAGGATCTAAAGTGAGTATTGATAATATATTTTATCTTTTCTTAGTTCATCTGTAAGTTAAGCCACTTTTTAAGTTGGTTTTAACCAGATGCTAGCTCACTAGCTAGCTGCTAAGCAAGCCATTGTGCTAGCCTCAGGACAATGGACTATTGTTCCAGAGAGACGTATTAAAAACTCATCTTAACATATTCATTACTGGTTTCATGGAATTAATTATTGCAGTTTATGTTAATAAGTTTGCTAATTTTTCAGGAACCTGTGGAACATCAGAGACTTTGCAGCTACTGGAGCTAACCTTTGTACTGCTATTGCTACAGAGGAAGCAGCAGAAAGCTGAGCTAACAGGCTGTTTTGCAGGTAAATACTCTTTTAGTGGAACTGCAGGATTTTTATGGTATAACTCAGACAGAATCTACATGAGCTATTGTGGGAAGACATTTAAACTACATTTACATACAGATACATGTATTTTTTTATTCCATGTTACTTGGACGGGCTAAACAAGTTCATAGTTCTGCCTGCTCCTTTTTCAGTGAAACGAATGGATTTTATGATGTAACTCTGACTGAATAATTATCTAAGTGAGTATGTTTGATAATACATTTCTTTCCAGTATACAGATCTGACATTTGTTTGTCAGAACAGGACAAATCAGATTCAATGTGCTTTCTGTCACGTGCTCTGTATTCTCCATGAAAAGAATGTTATCCAGGACAGATAATCAATAATGAGTTAAATACATGCTTTTAATAAATTTTTACATAAAATCTATATTTTTGTCTAAAAGCTATTTTTTATTTATTTATTCTTTCTTTTCAGATTGAAAACTGCTGCATTGCATTACAATGGAAGTGCTAAACAGCCACATGCATCAACTGCAGCTGGTGAGCTAAGACACACCATAGTGTACACAAAGTACACTGCAGACAAGGGATGTAAGAAAATATCAATATGACAATATATCGCGATGTATTTTCCCAGTAATATTGTATCGATATTCTCGAACTCTGTCTCTAAAATATCGATATGGCAATATATCGTGATATTTTTTCCTGAGATATTACATCCATTTTCAAAAGCAGTGTATCTAATTTTTGGAAGAATTTACATGCAAACATTTGTGTATTTTCTTTGTTTTTGGTGCATTTTAAATGTGGCCCGCTAGTTGGCAGCAGTGTGCATTGGGTTTTGTTTCCACCATTGAAATTTAAATCTCGCTATTATGGTTCAGAAACTCATGTTATATATGTTAAGTATCAGTTTGGACTGTTTATTGAATATTCCAACAATAAATTCTGTCAAAAATACACATCCCTACTGCAGACCAATCCCACCTCATGTAGTTCATATGCTGTATAATAAACCCACAGTGATGGTTATGGATAAATATCTGTACTAATGGTAATCTTTTTCCATTGTTTCCAGTTGACAAGCATATGGACCTATTGTTCGAGTCCGTGGTGGTGGATGCTCTATCATATCAGGAGTCGGTGGTGGTGGATGCTCTACCATATCAGGAGTCTGACTAAGTACCTGTGCCTGAACCTCTCTGTGTCTAGTTCAAAAGACCTGAAAGACCTGCTGTAAGCAGGCACAGGATAATATTTTAAAAGAACCTGTAAGGTGAGCAACACAACACAATATAAATCTTTATTATTATTGTACGCTGTACAGTTAGAATAAACTTGCATGCTCAGAAGCCACGTATGATTACATCGCCTACAGGTTGCCTGATGCTGAACTTCGGGCAGCTGCGTGCTCCGTGGAACAACCGCCTGTGGGAGGAGTCGTTGTGTTGCTGTTAGGAGTTTGGGTCGGAGTCCTGGGTTTGTGTTCCCTTTAATCTCTTCATTAGCCTTGCTAGTCACCATTGCAGAGCACCATGGAGAGGCTTACCTGAAAACTCTTCTCATGGGGCAGGCACATCCTCACACACCTGTAACCCCATCCTTGAATAAAAGCTGGTAGCTGGTCACTCATCAGAGTGTTTTAACCCATATCTAGCCCATGACTCTGCCGTTTTTCAAACTTACGTTCTCATGTTCTATGCAGATCTATGGGAATTCTTTCCTTGAAGCTCCTGATCACACAACCATACTGGCAGTCGGCTTACCCACTACCTTCTGCTCACCCGCTTGCTACTCATGCTGTCATTCTCCCAGACTTCTGGTTGTTTCGCCACCATTCTGCTGTCTCCCGTCTGCGCTACAATTTTAGACCGTAAGTACCTAAACTTTTCCTTTTGTAAGTCATTCTTTAGTCATTACTAACACTCAATTTTACCTCAGGGCCTTCTGATCTTTAAACACTAAAACCTGTGGCTCCATCTCTGTGGTGTTTCTCAGACTCTGTAAGCTACCTGCACAGTCTAAGAAAACCCTGACCTGTTGCCTCTTACTAACCTCTGCTCTTCCTCGCAGAAGCTTCTGGTTCCTGATCTCCAGCTGTTACCTCTTCAGTCATCCGTCAAACATTTTAATAAACTGTTTTTAGCTCATTTGTCTCCTGAGTTTCTCTGCATGAAGGTCAGGTTGTTGCAAAAATCATGACATCAGCAATTACTTTGCACCACTCTGTTAAACAGCTGATATTAATTTCAAGTGTATCTTTAAAAATACATTGAATGTCAAAGTGAATGAAAGGCATCCATTCAGCTTTCGGTGTCTAATGCAGGATTTTATGGACAGGCACCAAAACAGGAAATTTATAAATTGAGATTTATTTACTAAATCAGGTAAACCATAATAAAATACTAATGTTTAAAGTCCGGAGGAGGGAGGAAGGCTTTATAGCAGGGGTATTCAATTCTAGTCCTGGATGGCTGGTATCCAGCACGTTTTAGTTGTTTCCCTGCTCCAACACACTTGAATCAGTGGTTGAATTACCTGTGCAGCAGCTCTGCAGAAGCCTGTTAATTATCTGCTGACTGAAATCAGGTGTATTGAAACAGAGTTAAAACTAAAACGTGCTGGATACCGGCCCTCCAGGCCCAGAAGTAAATACTCCTGCTTTATAGGCACAGAGAACTCCCATCAGGATCCTGGAGACGGCACAAAGAGATGACGACATGAGTGTGCCCTCCCAGATCACACCAACACCACCTGACCACATGGAGAAATGTGTCTGTAAGAAAGAAAAACTGGTGATGTAAGAGATTAAACAAAAACTACGAACAAAATCAATTTTACAGTTGTTTAACCTGCTGAGCATCGTCTCCCCAAAGAGCTGCACAAAGGTGCAACTGGCTCAGAACCAGGGTGCTCCGTTATGCAGGTGGTCACCTCCTCCTGCTGACACCCGAGGATTACCTACAACAAAGGGAAAACTGATATCAATAAGGAAATAATTAAATCAGAGCTAAAAGTTTAATTTTAGTGTGACGTTTGAGATTGTGGGAAATAAATGTGGACATTATGATTTTCTATTGTGGGATCAGTACCTTGGGCGTTTCTCTGTAGCAACATTTTGTCTGGCTGACAATGAAGTAAAAAAGTCACCAGTTGAGGCAGAGTTAGACTACATTACTCCAGCTAAGCTAAATGTAGCTAAAATAGACACTAGTCACCAGACTATGGTTACTATAGATTTACTAGAGAGTTACATCATATAATCCATTCGTTTCACTGAAAAAGGAGCAGGCAGAACTATGAACTTGTTTAGCCCGTCCAAGTAACATGGAATAAAAAATACATGTATCTGTATGTAAATGTAGTTTAAAAGTCTTCCCACAATAGCTCATGTAAATTCTGAGTTATACCATAAAAGTCCTGCAGTTCCACTAAAAGAGTATTTACCTGCAAAACAGCCTGTTAGCTCAGCTTTCTGCTGCTTCCTCTGTAGCAAGTTAGCAGTACACAGGTTAGCTCTAATAGCTGCAAAGTCTCTGATGTTCCACAGGTTCCTGAAAAATTTGCAAACTTATTAACATAAACCGCAATAATTTATTCCATGAAACCAGTAATGAATATGTTAAGATGAGTTTTTAATACGTCTCTCTGGAACAATAGTCCATTGTCCTGAGGCTAGCACAATGGCTTGCTTAGCAGCTAGCTAGTGAGCTAGCGTCTGGTTAAAACCAACTTAAAAAGTGGCTTAACTTACAGATGAACTAAGAAAAGATAAAATATATTATCAATACTCACTTTAGATCCTCAGTAGACACCACAGACAGCAGAAATAACCTGTTTGGGGCTCAAAATTCATGTTGTTGACCAGGTGGAAAAAAATGTCTTGGAGGCTACATCACTTCCAGGTCACTGAACTGTCACTCAAGAGAAACCACTGTCCTATGGGAGAGGACTTCTCAGAAGTCCCGCCCACCCGAAAGGGTTGTGTCAGAATTGCAACCAAAAACTCAGGGATTGCAAAGGAGAAAGCCAGACAGTGTAAGTGCAAATCTGGAAGTGAGAGCAAAGCTCTGAGCAGAGAGAACAAAACTAAGGAAATTGATAACAAAAACACATAGAGGCAAACAGAAAAAGGAAACATACTTTGTTACTCATTTTAAGAAGTTGATTCAGATAGTAAGTTTTACTTTTGAAACATGTTTTTTTCCTTTAGTCAATATTTTTGTTCTGTCAATTTCTTAATTTTTGTTTGACCGTCAAAGTGTTTTTCTTGATCATTTTAAGAATCTGATTCAGATCGTAAGTTTTTCTTTTGAAACCAAGGTTTTTTCTCTCAATGTCTTAAAATTTGTTTGCTCTCCAAAGTGTTTTTCTTGATCCTATTGGCACAAATCTAATCCCATATTTTATTGAATAAAAAAGCAGATTTTGATTTAAAAAAATACAATTTTCTGCTTTAAAGAATTATAAATCTCTGTTCCTGCAGTATTTCGAAAAGTTTGTCCAAAGCTCTGGAGATGATGGCATCGTGGTCTTTTCTTTGGGATATTCTCAAGAATCTGACCATACAAGGCAAACATGATCGCCTCTGCTCTCGCTCAAGTCCCACAAAAGGTCAGAAACGGGGGAATCTACAGGGGGGCTCTGCTGTAGAGCCTTGCCCCCGTGGGTTAATTAGATTTTTTGGGTTGCGCCACTTTGACAATGTGCCGTGCGCAGGACGCAGTTGCCTGGAGCGCATCAAAGATCAGCGCTGTTCCTCCTCTCTGCTCAAGAATGCCCCAAGAGTTCAAACAGATACACAGCCCTGGGCGTGGACGTTGAGGGCTTCGTAATTCTAGCTCTGCTCGACATTTTCTTCAACGTGACACAGCCCCCCCCCCCCCCCCCCCCCCCGTTTCTCATTTACGTTGTTTTTGACAAAAACAGCTCTGCTGCTCCAAAATGATGCATTTTAAACATTGGTGTTGTGTTATTGTAATACGTTATAATTGAGATGAATAATAAAATATGACAAAAAATTCAAAATGTGGGACAAAAGGACTTATAAGCCAACATTTAGAGAAAAAGAGACATTTTTCACATTTTCTGAAAGAAATACGTTGGTTCAGGTTAAAGTTCATTTTTATTACATATAAAGTTAAAGAAAGGGGCGTTCAGGTGCTGCTGTTGATGTTAACACTGGAGCGTCGATGGTCCAGACTGAGATAAATGCGTTAAAGTTAGGCTCCGCCCATTTGGGTTACTATGACCACCAGTGCCTACTACTGCTCCTTCTTTCACCCCACCCACGTGATCCTTTGAAGTGACGTCATAAAGGCTCAGAGTCCTATTATCTAGCATCAGCCGGCTCCCACTTCATTAGCAGCCGACTGCTGGTGTGCGACACATCGACTCTCTGAGACAATCGTCTTTTACAACCTCAAACCTTTTTTCTGAGTTTGATAAAAGACCAAGAGCCTCTAGAATCATGTCTATTCTACATTTTTCATCTGAGGAGCTTCAGCAGGAATTATCTGGGTGTAAACACCCCAAAATTTATTTTTCCCATATGGCGCTCTTGGAGAAAGTCCAGTCTCAGCTTTTAATCACGGAGAAATGGTTAAGTGATGAAAAGCAGCAAACGTTACAAGCAGAGACTGAATTGGAAAAATACAACGACATAATTACCGTCCTGGAACAAGAACTGGACGTTTATCAAGACAACGCAGAGACCTGCAAGGTCACCCTGCAGGCTTTAGAGACCAAACTGAAGAAGAAAGCAACTGTGTGTGAAAATCTGCAAAATCTTTTAAAGCAGGAATCCCAGCTGAGACGTAGATTTGAACAGGGGAAGATAAACGACCAGATTAGGAACGAAGTTGATCAGAAACTAAGAGAAGAAATTAGTGAACTGAAAGAGCGTCTGGATTACTACCAGCTTAACGCTGAGACCTGCAAAACTACAATTCAGGCTTTGAAAATTAAGTTGGAGGAAAAACTAAATGTTTCTGAAAGTTTGCAAAACCAGTTAGGACTGGAGTCAGAGCTGAGACTGCAGCTGGAAGAGGAGAAACAGAATAAAGACTCGCTCACCGAGGCTTTACATGAACAAATCAGAGATTTAGAGATTATAAACGGTGTTCTGGTAGACGAGATGAAAAGTATCTTCTCTGAGACGAACGAGGCAGAGGAGACGCTTTCTGAGGAGGACGGAGAAAAGGCTTCTCTCTGCGGGGAATGTGAACCCAGTTCAGAGGACGAAACTCAGCTGGGACCCAGTCTCAGATTAGCTGAGCCAGTCCAGCAGGAGTCGTCTGGATGTCGGCATCCGACTTTCGATTCCCTTTTCCAGACAGTCGGCTCGGAACACCTACGGCTGTCTCGCCTGGACACAAGTCTCAGTGACCAAGCTGAAATAAGCTCAAAGCTAGAGAGCGAGTGCAAAAAATCCAGAACTCTGATTGATGAACTCAAACAGAAACTGGATTATTACCGAGGTGAGGCAGAGTCCTGCAACAAAATGATGCAGGAGGTAAACTTACAGCTGAAGGAGAAAGATGATCTGCTGGAAAACCTCCAAAAGCGACTCAGACGGGAATCTGAGCTGCTGAGATCCAAGTTTGATCAGCAGCAGAAAATCCAGCGGAACAAAGACAACGTTTATGAGAAATTAAAGGTAGAAATGAGTGAACTAGAAGAGGGACTGGATTACTACCAGAGTAATGCAGAGACCTTCAAAATTACAATTCAGACTCTCAAAACTCAGCTGGAGGAACGAGAACATCTGATTGAAGACCAGCAACAGCGTTTAAAACAGGAGTCAGAGCTGAAAGTCCGGCTGGGACAGGAGATTCAGAACAAGGACTCGTTCAACGAGGACTTAGAGACACAAATTAGAGATCTGGAGAAAATCAACCATGATCTCTCAGAACAACTGGAGACCTTTAACTCCCGGAAGAACACGCCTGAGCCAGACGAGAAGCTGTCTGAGGAGCTGGAAGCCTTCACGTACCAGCTGGTAGAGGAAGCTTCTCTGTGTGAACCTCAGGAACAAACTTCTGAGAGTCTGGAGCCTGACGAGGATTACGAGATGGGACATGATGTTTGCTCTCCACCTGCAGAACAGATAGATTCAGTGGAAGCAAGCGGAAGTCTTCATGAAAACGAGCCTTCTCCCAAAGACAGCGTTCCACAAACAGTCAGGAACCAGAATGTTTCATTGTGGAGGCGCTTCAAGAAGTTTCTCACTCCGGCGTGTCTACGGAAACATAAAGTTAGGCCTTAAATTAGCATCTGACCCCCAAAACACTCGGGCTTCATGATGACGTCACCAGTTTAAACCCCAGCTGTGACCTCACGAAAATTAGCATTAGCCTTCTCTAAATTTAGGCATTTTTGTGTGAGTGAGTGAGTGAGTGTGTGAGTGAGTGAATATCTAATCTTAGATGCAACACCCCTTTAGAGCACACAAGCACAGCAGAAAAAAAAGGGGCTTCCTGATGGAGAATTAGTTCCCCATCATGAATGCGTGGGTTTACTCCGGGCGCTCCGGTTCCCCCCACACACACGTAGGGTTAACTAGTGACCCTAACATGTCTCTGGGTGTGAGTGAGTGAGTAACTGATGCAGCTTTCTTTAACATAGAAACATGCTTGCTTAGTGTGGGGATTGCTGGAAAGCCTCTGACACAAAAAGTGGGTGACTCCATGCAATCTGCTGCGTTTCCTTAGGTAGAAAACCTTTAAATGACTGGAACAATGAGCTGAACTCAAAGCACTTTTGAATCAGTAGAATTTTTTTATTTTTTTTTCTGGAACTGCGCTGCTCTGGGTGGTTGCATGTTGGAGTAGCTCTGTTGACTTTATGTAAGTTTTGCCTTTTCTTGGACTTTTTTTCTTCTAGTTTCTCAAGAAATACTTTAGTTTTTTTTTTTTTTTGACATTTTACTTTTCTGTTTCTGGTGCTGTGAAGCTTTGAGGATTTTTACTGCTATTTTTTCACTTTTTGAGCATTTGTTATGATGTTATGATGTGTAACCATGGCAACAAGCTGGTTTACAATCGAGAGCAGCTGATTAACATTGGGAAGGCTGAAATAATACCTCAACTGAAGCCACAAATCCCAAATGAGCTAAAACGCCCAAACCATCTCTTCCATCGATCATAATGGGCAATGTGAGATCACTGGCCAACAAGATGGATGAACTCCAAGCCCTTTCAAGGACTCAGCCAGAGTATCGGCAGTGCAGTGTTATGTGCTTCACTGAGACGTGGCTGCAGGACCATATCCCCGATTCCAGCGTCTCTCTGCCAGGATTCCTGACTGTACGAGCAGACAGAGATCTGAAGAGGAGCGGGAAAAGAAAAGGAGGTGGAGTGGCAGTGCTTGTCAACAACAGATGGTGCCATCCAGGTCATGTTTCAGCGAAATGTCGTCTCTGCAGCCCAGGTGTTGAACTCTTGGCAGTAAGTTGTCGCCCATATTATTTGCCAAGAGACAGAAATACTCAGATGACTCTGCAGTTGTCGGGTGTATCAGAGATGGACAGGAAGCTGAGTACAGAGAGCTGGTGGAGCGCTTTGTGGCATGGTGTGGAAACAATCATCTGACCTTGAATGTGAACAAAACAAAGGAGATGATTTTAGACTTCAGAAGAAGCAGGGTGGAGTCAAACACTGTTTCCATCATGGGAGAAGAAGTGGAGGTGGTTGAGGAATACAAACACCTTGGAGTTCACCTGGACAACAGACTGGACTGGAGAAAGAACAGCGAAGCCGTTTACAAGAAGAGACACAGCAGACTGCACTTCTTGAGGACGCTTAGGTCCTTCAATGTCTGTAGCAAGATGCTGCAGATCTTCTACAAGTCTGTTGTTGAGAGTGTAATCTCTTCAGCCATCGTCTGTTGGGTTAGCAGCATCAGAAGCAGGGACCTGAAAAGCAGTGGCGGCTGGCCAGTAGAGGGCGATAGGGCGCCACCCTCCCAGTTTCCCCAGTGTTTTTAATTTTTATTTAAAAAAATAAATAAATAAAATTAACAATAATCACATATTCTAAGTTAATTGTGTGTTTTGTAACAAAAATAAATCATATATATCTATATATCTATATTGGTCTCTGCCAATCTCTGCCGGTCTCTGCCGAGGGGTGGAGGCTGTGTGCTGTTTTTCAATCGCCCAAACAAGACGGGACCAGTTGTCCAATTGCTGACAAGAAAATCAAAGGGTAGGAATGGGAATGTATCCAATCAGCGTCGACGTTGTTTCAGAAGCATGATGGGCGATAGAGCTACCGCCACGGCTTTCGTTGGTGTTCGGTAGAACTCGGAGAGTCTCGACTCCAGCACGTTTTTGGTCGTGACTCGTGACGGTCGTGACGCAGACGTAGACATGGACGCCAGTGCGCCTACAACCAGCA